TAATAAGAGAGAATAATGTATATAATATATAAATATACAGGGTATTCAGTAAATTAGGAAATAGGTCAATTGTTAAAAACAATGAGAACAATAGATACACGTTTCCTTACTTACTGAACACTATATATATTTTTTGTTAATTCTTAAAATGATTTTTATGAAAAATAACTAGAAAGAAGTCTTTAAATTTATTGTACTGAACAAAGGAAAAACTTTAATTACTAAATTTTATGTTTTGATATATTACATGAAAATAAAAATTATTAATTTACCTAACTTTTAATAAATATTCTAAATTAAGCTTTTTAATTTTTCTGAATTTAAATTTCCTCATAATATAATTGAGCCATATAACTCAATTACATAAAATATAAATAATAAGGAATATCTTACTGTGCATTGTTCTTTTGATGCTTGAATACAACCTGAATCGTCATTTCTTATACAACACGCAGTTTCTCTCTCTTTTTTACGCCATTTTTCTATTTCATCTGTTATATTTTTGTCTTTCCTCATACAAGGTGCAAATTTAGCACCTAAGTGTATTAAATCAGCCTGAATATACCAAAATCAAAGTTTAAGTAATAAAGTAATAATATAATTTAAAAACTTTATTATAACTTACAGCTCTAGGACCAATCCAAAAATTAGATGGCTCTATGTATTCAATTATTTGTACAGACAAACTAGTTACCATAACCTGTGTAAAATAGAAATAAATAATTAGTTAAATTGATCAATAATTAATAATAATATTCTTTTTTAATTTTATTTGTTAATGAAATTTAATATAATTTAAATGTATAATTACAGCTCCAGACTGATGACTAAGGCCAATTCCAAAAGAACCCAATCCATAAGAAAATATTGAAAGAAATAGCACCAAAATTTGAACCACTGTTACCCAATAAGTGAAAAATGGTCTATGGTCTTCTAAATCATCTAGTTGTTGTTTTACATCTCGTCTGTTCATAACTTTTTTATTAAAAGATCGTCTATAAAATGAACATTTCATTAATTCATAACTCACCAGTTTTTTTTATAGTTATTTAAAAAAGTTATTTATATTAAGCATAAAAATAGTTAATTGTATACCTGAACAATCTTCCTATTACACCCATTCCATATTGACGTCTGTCAGAATTATCAAATGCACGATCTAATACCCTACCCCAAATTCTTCCCATGCCAATATTAGGCATATGATCATCTTCTATTCTTTGAGATGGATTTCTCTGCCAGTTAGAATATCTCCCAAAATTCTGATTTTGTTTGTT